ATCAGTGACACAGTGTTCAGCCTCACAGCAACCACAAGTTACTGCTGTACAGCAACTTGTACACCAGGGCTATACGACCTAGAGGAATGTCTGAACAAAAACAATGAAAGACAGGTCCGAGGGTCGCAGATTAAAAGTCACCCACCTTCAGCTTGGTAGCATCATCTTCTGTCCACTGGGCCAGCTGATCTAGACCATAGTCTTTACAATTGGGTGCTATGCATCAGAGAGCTGGACAATGACTAGGGATGATAGAAAGAGAATTGATGCCTTTGAGCTGTGGTGCTGGAGAAGAGTGTTGATGGATTGCTAGGAGAACAAATAGGTTTGTCCTGGAGAGGGTGATGCCAGGCTGCTCCTTGGAGGCAAGGATTCTAAAGCTTTTTCTGACATACTTTGGGCATGTTGCAAGGAGGGACCTTGGAGAGGGATATCATGTTTGGGAGGGTGGAGGGACAGTGCAGAGACAAAGACCCTTGATGAGATGGATTGAGCCAGTGATTGGGGTAGTGGGAGTAGGTGTGTCAGGAACAGTGAGATTGGCACAAGATAGAGCAGGGTTTAGGGCTGTTGTACGAAGGGTCGCTATGAGTCGCAGATGACTTGGCAGCACATAAATACAACAATAACAACAACAGCACAAGAGACACTCAAAATGAGTCTGAGAGGAACAACGTATCTTGGCAACAGGATCTAGAAATGCTGGGATGCTAGGGCTCCAAAGGGCTCCTTCCTCCCTTTCATACTTCAGGGTCACCTAGAGGGTAATGAATTGTGTTGCCAACTCAAAGGCACGCAGTTGGAATCTATCAGATACTCTATATGGGAGAAGGGTGGGTAAACTCTTCCATGGGATTTATACCCTCTGAAAATACTGTGGAGGTCAGCCAAGATTTGGCTGGGATTTGACAGCAGTGAGTTGAGTTTGAGTCTCTTGTGGGTGAAGAATGCATGGAGACAAAGTTATTCCATCACTTTCAAAGCTAGAAATTCTCCTTAAAAAAAAACCCCACCAAA